ACAGAAATGCGACGTCTACTCGTTCGGTATCGTGCTCATGGAGCTTTTGAGTGGCAAATTGCCCGATGCTGGATCGGAAAATGACGGGAAGGGGTTGGAGAGTTTTGTGAGGAAGGCATTTCAAGAAGAACGCCCCTTGACCGAGGTTATAGACCCAACACTCGTACCTGAGATTTATGCAAAGAAACAAGTGGTTTCGACGTTTCACATTGCACTAAATTGCACCGAGCTTGATCCCGAGATGCGCCCGAGAATGAGAATGGTCTCGGAGAGTCTTGATCGAATCAAATCTCAGTGAAGAGATTTGTGTGTTGTAGCATTGTTTTGTAGGTGTGAGATATGTGATGAAGCTTTGTATGTAGGGCTCTTGGCTGGTTAATGTCAATTATTTCAATTGCCTCCTTTCACTAGAACAGTCCAAGAGTTGTGCCATTATGAAATGGAAGTTTTTTTTTTTCTTTTTAATGCTTATTTTATGTTTGGATGGTGGGAAAATTATTCAAAACCGGCATTAGAGAAAAGAAAGAAGAATAACTTGGATTGATGAACTTCCACTCTGTTAAAATTAAATTTTTAATCAATAAATTATATTTATAGGTGAGTTCAATATGAAAATTCGAATTCACGACCTTTTAATCGGAGATGGGTGTCCTGATGGTTCAAGTTGGCAAGTTTAATATATCTTTTTAATTAAAAACATTTTTCAAAAACTTTTTATGAGTAATCATCCTTAAAGTGCTTAAGTTACCCAATAATTAGTTTTCAATAATTTTTTGGATAATCATCTCAAAATTTGAATTTAAAGCAGTCTCATTCTCCAAATTGTGAATTTTTTAGAAAACACAACTAAAACAATGATATAAAATATCGGTCGACATTTCCATGTATCCATGGGTTCATACCGACATGAACGTTAAATCAACATTTCTACTTATTACAAAGAAATCGACAAAATATGAAAATGTCACTAATATATATATATATATATATATATATATATATATAATATTAATATTAATTTATTTTTAACTTATTTAGAAATAGAAAAATGTTTATTTGTTAATTTAAATATTTTTTACCATTTTTAAAATTCTCTAACTTTCACGGAAATATCTATTGACATCAACATTTTATCAATATTTCCATAAAATTAAGACCTCGATATTTTCATTGATATTGATACTCAAAATCTTGACTAAAACCACTAAAGAAACTATACGAAACACATTCTAAATTAGTAATTACCTCAAAAAAAATGGTAGAAAAAATGTTCTTGTGCAAGTTTTTCAAAAGTCATCTCAAACACACTATTATTTACATATATCAATTTTTATCACAAGTTTTCAATTTCATTTTCGAACTTTGTTTTATAATTAAATGAACAACCATGAGAATATATATTTTTTAACAAATTTTCAAATAAAAGCTTAACGAGTAAAGGAAAAATATAGTGTATAATGTTTAAGGTAAAGATTATAACACAAAATTCTAATTTGATGTAATAATAGTTTAAGGTAAAAATAGATATACTTTTATAAAAATTTAAGCGTGAAACTAAAGTTTATAATAGCTCTACTGATTAAAGATATTTATGTTTGAAATTTTACCCCATGTTTTTTGGAAGATATAATAAAGTTAGGCAAGGACAGAAATACTGACACCCTATCAAAGAAAGCAAAGGCCCCCTTTATACAGACAGACATTAAAGATAGTAGGGCTGTTATGCTAAGGACACCATGCCATGGAAATCAAACTTACAAATTAATAAACAAAAAAAGTTACAATTTTTACCGTCTATTCAAATTTGCTAGTTTACCTAATAATTTCAACAACAACAAAAAATGGTAAAAAAACTCACTAATTTTATGAAATTTGAGCAATATACAAAGTTAAATTGGATCACGGCACAAAATCAACCATTAAATTACTCTACAAAATATATGTTTTATAATTCATTTGATATATATGGAAATACTCTTTTCAATAATTTTTAAAATGAAATAAAGATAAATTGAATTATGTTCACATTGGCGAATATTGCAATACTTATTCTGCAGTATGATAAATTGAAAATTTGGAGTAAAAATCGATACATTATCTTATTAAGTTCAAAATTAAAATAGATATTTTCCTTAATTAATACTTATTCTGCAGTATGATAAATTGAAAATTTGGAGTAAAAATCGATACATTATCTTATTAAGTTCAAAGTTAAAATAGATATTTTTCCTTAATTAATTGTATATATCCAATAAAGACAGATCCACGTTGAAAATACGACTAATCTCATTTTCAATTAATTTTGGGACGAAATTTCATTAATATTGTTATATCTGTGAGACTTTGGTCACACATTCAATATGCCTATAATTTTTTCTTGTCAATCTCTCCGTGAGTTAATACAGGAGTATTTTCTTTGAGAAATTTGTAATTACATTTTTTGTTGGCATCATTTGAAAATACTGCCCAACTCGTCAGGTTTTCCCCAATGATTTCCACCGTATAAAAAATGGGATTTGAAAGTGTTGAAGACATTTCTATTAAAAAAAAAAGAAAAAAAAATATTATTTTCCTTTGTAAATATAAACCCAGCCAAAAACTTGTCACATAAAATTAAGGACAATAAAAAATTCGGAGATCCGACCTTTGAGTTGAAATATACGTTCTGATCAATTGAGTTGTACACGAGTTAACAAAGAATATTAATTTACTAAAAATCATTAAGTCAATTTAAACTTAATTTAATTGGTAGGTATTAGTGATATTTTTTAAAAGATGTATATTTTAATTAAAGTTTATTTATTTTACAAAATCATAGGTTGAAGTTAAATTAGTTAAATAGCACTATACACATGAGTTCCATTTATTCAATTGTAAATCTGAGTTAATGGCACAAAGTGAAAGATAACTTTTAAGTATTATTTTACTCCATGTATTTTTTGTTTTAGTTAATTTTGGCCCTTGCATTTTGAAAACATGCATCTTAGTACAAGTACTTTCAATTTTTTTACTTCCAAAATGTCTGTTTTGACCTCATATTTTTAAAAAGGGACCAATGGTTGGGTTTGCAAGGTGATTGCAAACAAAGTTTCACATTGGTTAGGGGAGAGAATGATCATGGGTATATAAGAGAGGACAATTATCTTCATTGGTATGAATCCTTTTGGGTGAAATCAAAAGCAAAATCGTTAACAAAATGAACCATAGATGCTAATTTTCTTTAGATTGTTGTTTTTTGAAACCAAAAAAATAGTTCTTTTTTTTTGTGCTAGATAAAATAACTTACTCAAGAATCCAAAAGTAACATACATGCTAATTTTCTTGACATGGTTGTTTTTTAAGATAGGGAAAAATAATGAAACAAATTGATCTGAACTCAACAAAAATTTTGTTTTTTGAACCAATTTGTTCTATTTATGGTGCTAATGGATAAGGAGGAATTGTTGTTTAGGAAATGATAGAATTACTAACCTGTAAATATAGCACATTAATTAAATGAACAATCAAATTCAACAAATAATCGCACGTAGATAAAAGAAAAATTTTAAGATAATAACAAATTCATATTCAAAAGTAAGTGAAAAACCAACATATTTATAGACTATTCGTGGCTATCTCTTCCCGTGAAATTGTATCTCTTAATAGACTATAAGAGTTGTAGTTTTCAATATTTAACAAATAATTTATCTCCAATCATATTTAACTTTTTGAATATTAAATTATAAATATAGTCCTTGTTTGGATCAAGTTCCAATTTAGTTCCTGTGATTTAAAAAAGTTACAAATTTATTCTTACGATTTGGGCTTGATTTTGATTTCAATTTGGTTCCTATGATTTTAGAAGTTCTGATTTGGTTAAACATCACACATTTCGTGGTTACTGAATTGAATATGTAACACATTTTTAAGTACTTGGTATTGAGCTTATGTTTTCGTATTAGTTATTTATATTAGAGTTTATATTAAGTAAAAAATAGAGGAAAATGGGAGGTTTTCTGTATAAGTAAAAAGTAGTAGTTTAGAACAATTTGTGAGGTTTTAACTAACTATAGAGAAAAAAGAAATTGAAACTTTTAAAATTAAGGGATCAGATCCAAATTAAGCCTAGAGCATAGAGAAATCAAATTAAAAAATTTTAAATTATAGAGATCCAATCGAAACTAAACCAATATCATTGAATTGTTTTTAAAATGTTGAAAATTTGAAAAAAAATAATTCAAAAAAAAGGATAAATGAAAAATGAAAAAAAAAATGCAATATATTATTAAATGCATATGTATTTTCAAACCCAACCTCACCAGAATTAATATTTAAAGCCTCGTTTGATAAATTTTCATTTTGGTTTTCTGTTTTATAAAATTAATCTTGTAAATACTACTTCACATTCACATTTATAACTCTTTGTTTCGTTGTTTTCAAAATTGAAGGCAAACTTAAAAAAAAAATAGTTTACAAAAGTTTGTGTGTTTTATTTATGAAATTTGGTTTAGAATTTAAGAAAATGTGGGGATGTATTAAAGAAATGATGAGAAAAGATACACAATCTTAAAACAGCGTTACAATAAGAAAAAAATTGAGCCTAAATAATCCGAAGGTTTCAAGTCAATTGGAGATTGGTGAGTGCATCTTGAACCCGACCCACCAAATAGCCCATTTCTGGATAGGTGCATTAAAGAAATTACGAGAAAATATACATAATTTTTCAAAGAAATAAAATAAAATAGTTATGAAACAGTGTAAATAATTTGAAGGCTTCGGGTTAGGCAGAGATGTTGAGTGCACTTTAGACCCGACCCGACCCGAACCCACGTAATAGCCATTTGTAGGGGTGAAAGGTCACCAACCCTCAAAATGACTTCGTGATGACCTCATTTTTGGTTTCATGAACGGCCCAGATTGAAAGTGCCACCGAATTTCGAAAATACATAATTTTACACGCGGAAGGCCACAAAACCGTTAGCAGAACCCCACAATGGCCGTTGTTCCTTTTTTGTTCTTCTCCTCCATCTCTATTCCTTCCCTTCCTTCTTCCTGTTTCAATTCCCCGCTTTCCCTAGCTTTCCCCAGCTTTCCAAAATCCCTCACTATTTCTCTGAAATTCCCCTTCAAACCCCACCTCTGATTTTCAATTCCCAATTCCTCTTTCGATTCGAGTCGAGGGAATGATTGATTCTTCTTCAGCTCCGTGTAATTGGATTTAGTGTCTCCCACGCGCTATGATCGGGAGACGGGCAATTTTCTTTTGAGTTGTGATGCTGTTGTGCGTCTAATCTGCGCATTTTACAGGGTGGGTTTGAAGTGAATTTTGGAGAGGATGTCGAATCTGTATGGGGATTACAATCAGAAGATTGATTACGTCTTCAAAGTTGTGTTGATCGGAGATTCGGCCGTCGGCAAAACCCAACTCCTTGCGCGATTTTCCCGGAATGAATTTAGCCTTGATTCCAAAGCTACTATTGGAGTCGAGTTTCAGACTAAAACTCTCGTCATTGATCAGAAAACAGTGAAAGCCCAGATATGGGACACTGCTGGACAAGAAAGGTATGTGCCCATTACTCTTTTCTCTTGTGAGGTAAATTATATTTTGCTTTCTTTCTGGTGGACTCTTCGTTGTTCAAGGTTTGGATCTGGGATGGCTCTAGAGAATGGAAATTGGAAATGTGCTCTTCAGCTTTTCTGAATGATGTATTATAGAAGATAGAATTAGACAGCAAGGATTTTTGCAGCCTGAAATACAATTAGAACTTGTTTTCCGGTTGTTTTCTCTGTACTCTTAAATCCAGAGAGAATGCAGATGTCTATTTGTGTTTGAATGCAGTTGTGGTGATTAGAATTGTGTTCAAGTTACTTTCTGTTCGTTTGGGTAGAAGATTTAAGTCGAATTTTGTAAATTAGCCTGGTCTACTTCCAATTATAGTGTTTGGATTGGAAAGGAATGTCAATCATGATGAAAAGGCAAGTCTTAGGATGATATTACGAGTATTAGTGAAAAGTTGGTGTTAGACTACAATATTTAGTTGAAGTTATTTCCCCCACATTTAGAATTGTCCTTGGGCAGATTTACTCCTCTGCTTTTGTTGTTCATATTAGGTTCTCTGTTTTTGTTATTTGTAGCTGCAGGCTTGCAGCACTCTTTCACTGATTGTCAGAGGATTGTAAGCCATAGTTTTGTTTTACGCGTTCTATAATAGGGACATGAGAATCGTGTAGCTAGAAGAAAGCTAATGAGAAGCATTTGAGCTATGTCGGACACTGAGTAGTTAGGAGTAGTCTTTTGTGATTCTGTTTTTATAAGATAGGATGCAAATACAAGGGGAGTGAGTTTAGCATAAATTTGAGAGAGAGAATAGTGTAGAGTTATGAAGAAGTGAGATCAGGGGGGGTTGAAGATCTCTGTTGAAAGTTTGGCACCTTTTGTACTTTTGGTCAGAAGATACAAAAGTTTTTTTTACTGTCTGGGAAGTTCTATCTAATTGCTTTTAGAGCACATTCTCATTAGGTATGCCTAGAGTACGAAAGATGGATAGTATAATGGAGGATGTGAATTGTAATTGGGATCGGGATTGATTATTTAGGAAGCCTAGAAGATTCTGGAGATGGAAAAGAATATCATTGTTTGGTCGTGTGATGAATAAATTGCTACAGCAAATGGTGGTGGAACGATTGGCAACGGTTAGAGACATTCTTGATAAGGGGAAGGCAATTGTTGAACAGTGGAATGAAGGAGAGGCTTATGAGACGGTGCAGAGGAAGTCAAGACTGAATGAACTAATCTCAAGAAGACTTGAGATGCCTCAATTCAATCCAGTTGATCTGGATGGATAGATGGATCTTTCAAGGAAAATGATATTTTAAGGTTAATTTGCTGATGGAGGAAGAATGTAAGGAGGTTCTCGTGAATCGGTATGGTGAGAGAGGCTCTTGCTTGGATCGGTTGATGGAGAGTCATCAATCTCTCGGGCATTGGGTGAAGTTCAAGATCCAGCTCGATTTCTGATGTCATCTGGACTGAGAAACACCATATGAACATTTATTAGCTCTAAGACAGGAGGGCAGCTAGTGGGAATACGGGAAGATGTTCAAAATCTTTGCAGGTCCTGAGCATAAAATACCTGATTCTAGGACGATACAAAAGAATAATATCATCAGAGACATATGACTGCCCCAACTCTCACAAAACCATGGTGCTACATTGAATGATCTTAAGTTCCAGCTTATCATGGCCTAGTAGATTATGAAAGATTCTGCAACAAGCACAAACGGGACATTTCTTCATGAATTGGGGGCGGTCCACATGAACCAAAAGTTACTTTTCCTTTGTATTATGAGCCCTTTCAAGTGTAGGAATGAATGGAATACATCTGGTATTCCATGTCTCCCAGTTCAAATTGACATAAGGAACGGACTTCAGCACACCTCCAATACCACCATAGTTCAGTCGAACCATAGAATCCAAATTATCTCTTGCTGATATGCTTGGTTTGTGACCTTATCCTAATTCTCCTCTGGAGATTAGCAAACCAATAGAGGAGGCCTGATGGAGGTACCCTTTGCTTTGTTGCAAAAAGGTGAAAGTTTAGACAGGGTAGATAGAATTGATAAGCCACAAATTCATTTGGCGTATTGTAGGAAGAGAACGAGAGATCCAAGGTAACTGGAAGAAAGCTAATGAGAATGGCGTGAGTTATGAAGGATCCAGTTAGTTACGACTTGTGGTAGCAGGGCGCACATTTTGTAAGTCTGTTATTATTAGATGGAAACGCAAACGCGAGGGGAGTTAGGTAAGCATAAATGTGAGAGAGGGAAAGGAGAGAGGGAAAGGGGAGAGCTACAGATAAAGTTGAGTGAAGTCAAGGAGAGTTGTAGACCTCTCTGGACTATGTCACCTTATGTACTTTAGTTTAGGAGATCAATGCGAGAGTATCTTTCCCATTTGGAATGTTACATTATATTGTTCAAAGAAAGCACCGTAGACAGAAATTGTGAGAAAACGTAGCTCTGTTTATATGCTGTAACCTGTAATTTCTTGGAGTTAAGGAGCAAAAGTATTTCAGTAAATACAATGAATTAATTTGATCTCATACGCACTGGGATGCTTGTGATTTGTGAATGGTTTTTGGTATTTGATTTGCAAGTGGAGGAGATAGGTAGGAAAGAAATATGAAGAATGCAAAATACAGAACTGGTAAATAAGAGAAGAAATAATCATTACAATTCTAATGAGCTCTATCTGGCGATGATACATATAATATTTAAGTACGATTTTGGTCTCTATATACTTTGGCTTTGATTCATTTTAGTCTATGTAATTTCAACTTTTATTTACTTTAATTTTTATAATTTCAAAATTATCATTTTTTAAAAGTACTGGACCAAAATTAGAACTAACATTAACCAAATTCGGATAAGGGGTTACATTCTGTATTTAATACTTCTTAATCTTATTTCTTTAAAAACAGATGTGTTACTAACATTGATTAAACCTCTGTATTACACCCAAAAAGTATTGTGTTTTTTAAATTTATCTAATCAAAATCAAACAACTTCATTGGTAGGCCAGAACTTTCATTTAAGACCAATGGCTTATATTATTATCTTTTCCATTTGTTTGCTGATGATGAAAGTGGCTGATGAAATTTGCTGCCTTACAGTAGACATAGTTCATTTGGTCTATGCAACTATTTGGGCTGTTATAATGCCCAAAGTTGATTTGCTAACAGCTCTATCATCATATCCTATAAAATAACATACAGAAATTGTAATGTACTTAAATTGCGAATACCATCGTTAAGTTGGTTCTAGTTGCTGAAGCGATCTCGTTTCCCCATTACCAGGTACAGAGCAGTGACGAGTGCATACTACAGAGGTGCAGTGGGAGCAATGCTAGTTTACGATATGACAAAGCGCCAGTCGTTCGACCACATGGCAAGGTGGCTGGAGGAACTAAGGGGACATGCTGACAAGAACATCGTTATAATGCTCATCGGAAACAAGTGCGACTTGGGGAGCCTCCGAGCGGTACCAACAGAAGATGCACAGGAGTTTGCTGAAAGAGAGAACCTGTTCTTCATGGAGACATCGGCTCTGGAGTCGACGAACGTGGAAACTGCATTCTTCACGATTCTAACAGAGATTTATAGGATAATCAGCAAGAAGACTCTCGCAGCTGGGGAAGAGATAGATATTGGAGGGCCAGGGCATTTTAAAGGGACCAATATAGTTGTTCCTGGACAGGACTCAGATTCTGGGAGAAAAGGGTGTTGCTTTGCCTCATGAAAAGTTTCACATAATTCCATAATCATTTGAAATTGGGACCTTGCTTTTCTATTCCACTTGGATTTATACTAAGAAAAATTCATGTATGTTGTAGAAAATACTGGCTTGATCGATCACACCATGGATGGAACATGAAAGATTAGTTAACCTTAACCCTCCCTCTATCTCTCTCTCTCCTTCAAGAATAAAATTTCAAACGTTTCAACAACTTGATGATGATCAAACACTCTCACTAATGCTGTGATAAATCACACCCTTGGAATTTTCAATTTCCGCAATTATCCAAGCCTACACTTGTCACAATGTTGCTCTCGGTTTAGGCAACAAATCTTGATTATAGAGATCCACTAGTGTAAACTACACGGCATCGATTCCGAGAAATCAGGAAAAAAAAATATCTACCATTTCCCTCCAAATTTATGAAATTGTTTTAAATAAGTCAGGTTATAATTCTAATTTCCATTTATAATTTCGGTAGGCACCTATTGAAGAATGCACAATCACCCTTAAACTATGATAAGTATTTTTTTTCTTTTAGTACTAAACTATGATAAGTTTTAGTGTTATAAGTTTGAATTCTCACTCATGTTAGGATGATACGAAACTTATATTTTGTTAAAGATTCTTATTATTATCCATAGTATAGAGCTTAAAAACACGATCCCAAACTACTTTGAATCACCCGAAACATAGCTCAAATGAGAAAAGATTAAGAGGCAAAATCCTACACATTGCAATGAGGTAATGACATGGAAAATTAAGCATACTCTCTTTTTGCTACATCTCGAATCATCATTTATTAGTTTAGTTAGTGTACCAGTTAGTGTACCACATCAGTATTTAAGCAACGATATTAATGATAAATACCTATGTTTATTAGTACAACACTAAAGACTTGTACAAATATAATACATGGGTTCGCTCATTGGTCTTAGAGGGGTAAAAGTAAATAAAAAGGATTTAGAAGAAATGAGTTCAAAACTCATGATGGCCACCTATTTAGGAATAAAATTTGCTATGTGGTTGTCCCGTGAGATAAATTGAGATGCACACAAATTGGTCCGGACACTCACGAATATGAAAAAAAATGTAATTTCTGCTGGTGCAGGATTTTGTATTTATATAGTTGAGTTTAGACATTTTTGTAGCTTGATTTTTAGTATGGTTGAATGTTGTATAATTTATTAGTTGATAGGAGTATTTTTCTAATTTGATTTTGGAGAGGTATTAATTTAACAATCTATTTAATTTTAGGACTCAATTTAACCCAATTGAAAATTTAAGTTTAAGATTTCTTTATTGCTAAGTTTAGTGGTAAAAATGAAATTTCCCATAATAATTATTAGTAAATCTTGCTCGCAATATTTTGTTAATTTGACAATTGTACTTGCTTCTTTTTCACATTTTACAATTTAATAATCCTTTAAATGTAATAATAGTGAATAAAACAAGTACTTCAAAATTATGAATAGAAAACTCTTTAATGTTCAAATTATTTTCCATCATCTTTTCAAGATATTATTTGCTAATTTATACTCATATCTAGAGCAAATTAATGTGAATATATTTAGTACAAGTTAATAGAAATGCCTTTTATCAGAATTTAAATAACAAATACATAATTTTCTTTAAAAGAAATCATTAATTGTTTATCCCTCGACGAGTCAATTTTAACCTTAGACTTTCAACGTTATCAAATTGAATATTTTTAGGGACATCAAATTGAATCTAAAACACAAGCGGTAAAATTTATACCTCTAAGAGTAGTTAAAATTTTTATCTATTATTATTTTTATTTTTATTTTTAATTAACAACATGAGCTTAGATCAATGTTCGAAATGTCGATGTCGATGAAAATATCGAGATCTCGATTTTACGGACATGTGGATAGATGTTTCGAGGAAAATAATGGAAATTATGGAAATTGATGGAATTTTTTTGAATTAGCAAATAAAACTTGAATTGTAGCTTAATTAGCCTATAATTTATCACCTATAACCATTAAATGTAAGAATTTGACTATTTTACTTATGAAAATGTCGATGTCGATGAAAATATAAAAAAAAAAAAGATTTTTTCCTTTAATGTAAATTGATGGAAATTATTTGAATATGTAAAGTAAACTTTGTAAACTTTTGACTACTTCTTGAGTGGTTTTCATAATAACACATTTCTAAATTCTAGTTAACTCGTATCGGTTTACTTTTTACTTACTTCTCTTTTCAAATTTGAATTTACACATTTTTCAAACATATTTTCAAATCAATCATCAATCCAACTTTCCAATAAAATTTATACAATTTTCAAACACCTCAACCTCGTGATTGTGTCATTCATCCAAATTATCTACCAATGGGGTCCAATGTGCTTCATATTCTACTCATTTGAGCAACTACCTTCAAAACTTTCAGTCTAGGATGACCGAGGAGAACTATTGTAATTTATATCAAAGTTATCAAGATAGTGCACTAGATCCTCCGAGATCATCTTTTTGGTATTAATTAAGTTACCTATTTTACTTCATGTTTCACCACTATTTGTATATAATAATATTTTATACAAATACTAAGTTACCCGAGCATTAAATACGCAGGAAAGATTGCAGAAATGCCTTCCAAATATGAGCATCAGACTGGTGCTATCTTTGTGAATCGGCGTCGGAGACTTTGGATCATATTTTTCTCCATTGTAAGTACACAGAAAGTGTTTGGTATTGTCTTTTCGATACTTTCCAGATTTTCTCCGCTCTCCCCAACCATATTGATAATTTTATTGTTGAGGTTTTATATGTTCCACTCACTAAACTATATTTGATTGGAGAGAAATCATCGCACTTGGCACAGTCCCCGACCAACCTTTGGGAAGATATAACTATTTCAGCTTCTCTTTGGTCCTCTAAATCCCCTTTTTTATAATTATGATGCAACCACCATATCTCTAAATTGAAGTGTTTCATTTAGTCCTTTTTTTTTGGTACGTTTCTCACCTACTTCAATGAGAAGTAGTTTTTCCAAAAATAATAATAATAATAATAATATATATATTTTTTAAAATTTTAAGATTATTTCAATCTTTATATATTCCACATATATTGTTCAATTGTGTAATTAAGGACTAGATTGAATTAGAAATTCTCAATAAATCAAATTCCAAATCTTATTAGTTAAAATTTATACAGTATTAAAATTCGAATGTTTCATTGAACAGACTAAGATTACAATCATCGAGGTTGTGAGAAATTATAGACTATAATAGCATAGTAGGAAAATGGTGAAAATAAAATAACCTTAAAAGAAGAAGAGGAAAAAAAAAAGACATGTCGACGACATGGGGGAAAATCAACTTTTCCCCTCTTTGTCAATGTCGACATGTCTCGAGCGACATGTCGACATGTCTCTCGACATTTTAAACCCTGACTTAAATTAGCAGTTAAAAACATCTTATTCCTTTCTTTAGATGTAGACAAAAACTTAATACCCTAAAATACCAATTATGAATTTTGATGGTTTAGTTTTATTTAGTTCATGGACTTGACAAGTTTCAATAACACATCCATGAACTTTTAATTTTTGTTCTTAATTATAGGTCAATATCTTGAAGATAATCTAGACGTGGAATAATTGTTATTAACAAATTAAGTTGTATGAAATCAGCATTTCTTAGTTCAAAATTAATATGTCACTTTAATATATATTAATGTTTAAGTAATTGTGTTACAATTAAAATCACTTACTGGAATCATAATAGAAAGTTTAGAGATTTAAAGTTTAGTGACTAATTAAACACGTATCAAAAGTGCATGAATTAAATTTAAAATTTAATCAATTTTGAGTATTTTATGTATGATATGTTAAAGTTTGATCAAAGATTATCTAACACGTTGAATTTTATTTGATTAATTTGTTAGTTCATGAATATTTTATAATTTACCTTTGATTAGGTAGTAACTTTAGAACTCATTCAAGAAATCATATGATCTCTTGAGAGTACTCTTGTTCTAGGAAGATTTGTAATTGAGAGAATATATATCATGTCTGATTTTGAATGCATGTTATAGCATTTGAAAGTAAGAGAAAAAGAACATGTGGTTGGGCAACATTGAAACTCGACATGAGCAGATTCCTGATTGCAACCCGAATCCAAATCCAGCATCAACACTTTCCTTCAAATATATTAAGGAACGAAAAGATTCATTATTCTTASGAGGTAGAAAAGATYAGAAGAATTCAAGTTATTCCTKACTATTAGAGTTGTTTTAAAAAGTAATTCCATATTAGTAATTACTAACCTCAAGTATGCATGTCAAAGTTTTAAGATAATGATGAGTGAAATAYGTGTGGTTGGCCTCGGTTTCAAGCTTACTTCCGAGTTGCTAAATTTTATTTAGAATTCCATGAATGAAACCAAAGGATAAATAATGATGCAACAATCCAACAATAATAACACTAACAAAAAAAAAAAAATCAATTGAAAAACATCTTAGGACTGGATAATCTCATTTGACTGTCCCAAGCACTGCTCAACATTTTTTTTCTTTTTTTTTTATCAAATTTAAGAAACTAATATCTAGATTCATATTCAATTATTTGCAAAAGGCTTAAGGATAAGTCTTGCAACGATTTGACCTAAAGAGAAGCTCTAAATCTTCCGATCCTAATCATAGGTKGTATAAACTTAAATGAATACCTCTCCATAATTTTTTAGGTCTATGCAAAAAATTAACCTCTAAAAAATAGATTAAAAGCATAAGGAAATAGGAAAAATGAGAAAAAGGTAACGTTGTCTAGGAGGTGCTTCAATTCATTCTCAAACTATACCTTCTTGATCATTAGCCTCAGAAAATCTATTTTCTTAGAATATTCTTCTTGCTCCTCAAATGATTTGTGTCGTTTCCTTTTTTTTCCTCTCCTATATTTGATACAAGTAACCTTAGTTTTATAAAAAATCAATGCAGAGGCACTCCGACGCTATAAAAGTAGCATCTAGGCGCTATTTAATAGCGCCTAGGTGCTGTGTCTATTGAGGTGGAATCACAAAGTTGATAGCAATTAGGACACTAAACTTGGATGTTGTGTCTAAGCACCCCTATTTCCATCAATAAATGTAGCTACATTAGCTGAAACTAGTTCAWCTTTCCAACAGAGAAGCAACAACTTTCAAGGTTGATTGCTTGAAGTTTGAGTTTCTCAAATACTTGATAATCTTCTAACGTTGTTGGTAATTTGTTTGATTTGTTGAAATAGATTAAGTTAAATCATTTAGCGTATATTAAACTATTGACAAGAAAKGAAGAATCAAAGATAGAGATGATTGCTGAGGAATTTTGAGTTGTTCATCTTCTCTATATAAGGTCACACATATGACAGTGTTGAAATTGACCACGTAAAGAAAGAAGAAAGAAATTTAGTTAGAGAGTTTTGTGTGGTTTTATTACAGTGAAGTCATTTCATACTGTTTGATTTTTAATTATCATAACGGTTAGTTTTTTTTGTAATTATATTTAAGTATTATGTATGTGAGTGTAAATASATCGGTTGRAGTTGATTTTTAGTCAAAATCTACTAAGCTAACATAAAGTAACGAACCAAAACCAACAAAATGGACTATAATTCAAACATGGGTTATACAAACCATTCATTTCCACCATCTACATACATGGCTAAGAAAAACCCTAATTTGTACAATAATGCCACCACAAAACATAGGGACCTTATTGTCATTTCACCATACCATACTCAAAAAAAATTCCGGTGAAAAAAAAGGCTCCCGCTCTTACCAAATTTGAAAATTTAAACCTAAAAATTCAAAAACCAAAGAAAAGAAAAAAAAAAGGCCACGTGTACTGAAAATGGAGCAAAAAATTGAAATTTGGTTTAAGTAGCGCCCAAATTTCGCATTTGAAATTCTGCCAAAAATTTCGCCCTCTCTCAGCAGCTCCATCTTCTTCCCTCTCTCACTTTTCGCTGCGCAACTCAGAACCACAGCGCCATCGCCATTTTTGATCTTCTGGTCAAACAAATTATTCTCCCCACTGGAATCTCACGGTACGAATCTCTTCTTCTTCCTGATTTCTGATTCTCATTCCGAGAAACTAGAAATGAAATGTTGTAGGTTTTTGTATTCACTTTTTTGGTTCCTGTTGAGATTTGAAGTGAAAAGACCTGAGTTCTTGTTACTGTAGAGTGAGATTGATTTGGGGTTTCTTCTCTTTGTAATGACTGTTTCTTGTTTCTTCGGGGTTTTGAAGTTCCATAATGTCGGAGTCGAGGGACAGATTGGAGAGGCAAGTCGACTATGCCGAGTTCTTTGTAACTCGGAGAKCGGGAGGCATTTTGGTCGATCCTGAGGTGACTCCGGTTGTGCGACCCACTGCGACGACTACAGCTCCTCAAAGACCTTCGAATCTCGGCCCCGGGGGAGGCGGCGTGCCTCTGAGACGCAGTTTTGGGTCTCCTATTTCTGGAGGAATTGGACGGAATCGATTTCTTTACAGATCTCCGGTGATGAACCGCGAAAATGCGGCGGCGGGGAGTTCCCGGCGGAGTAGATCTAGGGGGAGGAACAGCGTGTTACCTAGTTGGTACCCAAGAACCCCTCTCCGCGACATAACGGCAGTTGTGAGGGTAATATTACGTCCCCTGCTCTTTTGATTTTTGTTTCTTTCAATTTTTGTTTTTGGTTCTGTTTGGGTTTATTCTGTTCTGCTTTAAATTTTGTGGAGTACTTGCATAAATCATCTTGTGTAATGTCCATAGTTATCGCATTTCCATGTCCATTTGGTGAATTTGATTCATATGGGTTCTGGTACGCATGTCATATACACCAATAGCTGTGGTGAATGGTGAAGAATGCTGGTGAAATATTTGTTCTCTGATACAGTGTACTTTTTGGATTCATTGGAATTTGAATTTGCTTGATYTTCGGAAGGCCTGTTTTGATTTTCTGGTGTAGTTGTTTTGTGATTCTTGTTTCTGTTCTTCAGTTGGTTGCATTTGATTTGGTTTSGTTTACATTTCAAATGAAAATGCTTATTGGATATGGAACCCTTTTCGTGAATCCTCAGATTGGATCACTTTTCTTTTTCTTTTGGTCAATTAATTAATAAATTCCTTGTGATTATAAGCAATGCACTATTTACTTGTTTCTCTCAAAAGAAGATTCTTTTGGTTTTGTAAAGTCCATGCCTAATGATTTCATATGAAGCACCAACAGTCTGGATGATGTGATCTTGTCCATATTTGTTTATGAAGATTAACTTATTTTCTTCACTTTTTAGGGTGTATTTTGGGGATGATTTTGGCATAATCAAAATCATCAAAAATCGCTTTTACCATTGTCAAAATCACTTCTCTTTGATTATGTTTGGTAAGTTATAAAATTAATTTGAGTAAAGTTTTAAATCCCTCTGAATTGATTTTTAAGCTATCACTRGCACGAACTTAAATCTCTTTTTTCAAAATCACTCCTATCATCACTTCCAAACACTCTTTTCTTCGAATTGATTTTCTGGGCTTTATTTTAACCTGTTTTGACAACTGTATTTTTAGCAGGCTCAGTATGCTTGGGCTTGTTACAAGGTTGTTGTATCTAGTTATTCCAATTAACATTTTGGGCCTATATAGAAGCTTTAATTAATTTGCCTGTAAAATGGAAAAGTGCAATGATATCTCATTACTTGTAAAATATATGTAGAATACTTATTAAGTATCCCACACTTTTGAATTATTGTACTTTTATGCCCATCAATTTGAAGGATGAATTATATTAACTTTCTTTTTGACAAACATATGAATAAATATATATTATTGATTTGGCATTGTACCATCAGAAATAGGTAGTTGCTTTGTTCTGCTTTAGGTTCATTCTTGTCTTTTCTCTGTCACATGTTTTTGTCTGCATTTTTCATCTCAAATCCTTGCAACTTTTTAAGTTGCTTCCCTTGTATTTCTGAGCCTATGTCCTTCGACTAGTCAATAGAAAACTGCGAACAGGGTTAAAGTTTGGGAATTTGTTATTTGAATTCCCATTTCAAATGTTCATCTTATTTTACTTTATCTTCTATGCGGTCATCTGTGTGTTTAGTTACAGAAATCTCCTTCCCTAGTTCTCCATTTGAGGCAAGTTGAATTGGGGTTGGGCTTCTTATAGGCATCGTTCAATAGTTGTTAATTTCTCWAGAATCTTACTCTTCAAACAGGCAATTGAACGGACAAGAGCTCGCTTGAGAGAGAACGARGGCCAAGGAAGTGACAATACTCCAGCTCCCTCGGACCAAAGAGCTATAGATTCTAGCGCATCTGTGGCAGGTGATCATCAAGAGCCAAGTATCTCTCTGATCACCCCAAAACCAACCGTAGGAGGAGTAAAAAAGATTCTGCGTGGAATTGCGAACCAGAACGCGGGAGAAGCCGAGTTTCTGACTCCCCAGAAGAAGCTCTTGAACTCCATAGACAAAGTGGAGAAGGTAGTAATGGAGGAACTGGAGAAATTGAAGAAGACGCCGAGTGCCAAGAGGGCAGAGAGGGAAAAAAGAGTTCGCACTCTGATGTCATTTCGTTGATTCAGTTCAACATAAACACTACCAGAATTGGAGTGATCAGATCAGACAATCAAATTCTTTCAGAATTCATATCATATATGCAATCATCTGCTGATGATTACTTGGTAAAGAGCGCTGTTTGATCAAAGAGAGGGGGTAGAGAAGAGAKATCCTCATCTTCTGATGAGATCTCCAGAGGGGTATGTTACTTTTCCTGTTAAATGAATCATTTTCATTTGCAAAAACTATGTTTCCTTTAGATGTTTGTAAGCATTTACAAGATAGGCTGCCCTTTTTTTTTGTTTACTATAGATATAGATAGATATGCAGGCCTTTTTTTGGGCAGTAGAAATAATGTAAATAGAAATCTTATTCAACTCTACTTTGACTTGAGTATTTTGTCTCTAATTTTGATAAGATGCACATTTTTTGATTGACTGCTATGATCAATGGAAAGTGCTAAAGCTTTTCAAAATTGTTATGTTTTGGTTATATTCTTAGAAGTGATTTTGGAAATAAAAAAAAAAACACTTTAAGCTTTTAAGTCAGGTTGGATATTAGCTAAGTGGATAAGAGAATTAAGTGGTTGCTTCTCTCCGCTAAAGGTAAGAGTATTAAATTTTTGTTACCTATTGACATTTCCAATGTCTACTGGTTCTAAATCGACATATATGAAGAATTGCTTTTTTTTTTTTTTTTAAGTATTGCAAAAGAATTCACAAAATATCAACAAAAAGATACAATATTAGTATTAATAATTTTAAACTTATTTTAAATTGGTGAGATGTATATTAGTTAATTTAAATATTTGTTATGAAATTTTTCTTTTTATTAATTTTCTAGAAATATCTATCAAAATTGACATTTTATCGATATTTTTATCAAATTGAGATTTTGACATTTACATCACGGTTACAACCTAACCTTGGCTAAACGGATAGCTAGAGATGGGGGTGTTTGGGGAAGGGAATACCCTGGACACGTGGAGGACCCCTATTGGTGCTCCAAGATGGCTCATGAGTCATGCCCAGCTCGGATAACCGAGATGGCCGCCACCAACGCCGACAAATGCTAAGTATGAGGGTCGAGGTGAACCTGGCCCAGGTCTGACCTACCGGGGAGCTCGGTAGGGGCCGATGTGAGCAACATGCGGCGTGATTATCGGGYGTAACCGTCGGTCCCGAGATCACCGGGTGTAACCGACGGTCCCGAGATTACCGAATGTAACTGTCGCGAGATTAGCGAGACCACCACCCATAAGTAGAGGACCTCACTCCCCGATCAGGTACGATGATTTCTGGTTTCGAACTAAACTTGGAATCCGACCTATACTGACTTGATCGTCGGAGTGCTCACCTTTTTGTGCAGGTCCGCCCAAGTGTTCAGGTCGGTCCGGAAGCCGAGTTCGAGCTACAATCAGGAACACACTGTTGTGCACATCTGTGCATAAACAGGGGAGAAGACAGATAATTGGAAGAGAGACGAGGAGAAAAAGAGATAAGGAAGAAAGTGGGTGGGGAGACCTTCAACATGGAATCCTGAATTCATTTGATTGTTACAGAAAAAATGATGAGAACTTGGTGAATAACTAAACTATGTTACATAACTAAACTATGTTACATCAGATCAATTATATATATAATTCTTATTTTTTGCTACTAATTAAAAATGTCACATAACATAGTTAAGTAAGGTCTATGTTATTTTTTTTATTAGTCAACTAACGATCAAATGAATTCATAGACCATTTTAAGATTAAAGTATGTCGGCGTATTCCTGCCGGTTAGAGGTCGATCACCACTTTTGAAATTTTAGGGATCAAATAGATACCGACCTCAAATTTTAAGGACAAAAATCATAAGGTTTGAAAAGTAATATAAAAATATTTATAAAAAAAGCCATAAACACTTAAAAATACTCTGTGAATAAGTATTTGTAGAGCTCTTTAAGCTGCTTGAAAAGGACTTTTTTCTTATACCAAATATCAAAATACTTTTGGAAACATATTCATTAGTAATAGTGATCACCTTACTCTTATTATTATTATTGTAAGGGTATCTCTCATAACTTATTATTATTTAAATATTAATTTAACAGAATTAATAGTTTATTATGGAAAAGAAATCAAAATTGAAGTGTAGAAAATTAACCTAATTGGAATAATGCCAAAAGTAGGAAAAACATTGTGAAGCACTACCCTGAGATTGAGGATTTTGCACATGTTATGTTCGTTGAGTGACTTTAATGTGGAGTAGGTCAACTTTTTAGTTGGATCAAGTGCTACAATAATATATTATCTTCACAATGGAGAAATTTTTTTTTTCCCTTAAAATTTTTATTATTATATTCTCTTAATTTGAGTTTTCGAACTTTAGGTAAGTTATCATCTTTTAAAAACGTTAAATATGGTCCTATTCTCTATTCCATTTCTTTAATTTTGCCCCGAATGTATTAGAAAGTGAAAATGTTACTAAATTAAATTCTTAGAACGTGAGCTTTTACCTAAGTAGACTTTTTATAGATTCTAATTACATATTTATAAGATTTACACTTTTGTTAGCTGGGTAAGAAAGTTTTTTTTTAAATTACCAAATTACCCATGTATATATATTTGATTAACAAAAATATTCTAGATGCAAAAATCTGGGAGGAAACTGTTCCCCACTCCAATCTTGAATCAATATTCTTCCCCCAAAGTTTATTCAGCCGCCACGCCACCTTCGTGTCCACCGCCAACATTCTTCACCAACGTCCCATATTTCGTGTTGATGGCGAGTTTTGGAGGTCTGTGTGCCCTTCAAAAGCGTAGGTTGCTGAAGGACAAATGAGTTTGCAACCAGAAAACTCGACACCGGTGCAGCGTCCGGCCTAATATACTATGACCATCAAGTTAGATATCGGAGTAAGAAAATAGGAGTAGATAGCTTAAGAGTTTAGTGACAGGTTTTTCAACTATTTGGTAGTGAAGGGGTCCTTCATTTTTATAGGTGCGTTCCCTTTTATAGGCACGAATGGCTACCCGTACAGTATTTTAGGTTACATGCCTGTATGCACACCCAACTTACATTGCTAACCGTTTGTGGTCCCGCGCCTCATTGTCATCCCTAGTGCTCGATACCTTGCTTAGATTTCTCCCTCAACATTTAGCCCTCTTTTGGAGCCAGGTCATCTCGCTTGGGAGGGACGGATCCAAAAGTGTTGACGCAGGTTCGAGCGTGAGCGAGTGACATGGCGGGGAGGTCATTCCCAAATCCATTATGGGGCTACTGGTTAGACTGGAATCATCATGGTGGACGCTTGTTCGTACAACCGCATTAATGAGGGGACACATGTTCAAACCCATTTCGTGGGGGTCGTGTCGCCTGTGCGCTGAACGAAGCGGTGGGCTATGCCGGTTTCAATTCTGAGTAGCCGTTGGGATCCGAAGTGACTGTTGGAAGGGTTTAAAATCCTGCCTCGAGGAACCATGGATTTTTATTTCATTTTCCTTCCTTTTTGCTCCTTTCGATTTCCTCTTCATCGAAGATCCAGTAATGGCTACTCGCAGAAGCGCTTCCTTTGGCGACGGTCGCTCGGTGGTGGTACACATTTCATCGACTACGACGGAGGCAGACGTGGAGAAGATCAGGATGACTTACCGTGTTCTCGACTACGTTCTTATACATTTGCCCTTGGAGGACAAGAGGATCGACTCCCCCTCCTGGGATGGGTGAGTTTTTACCTCAAGATGTTTGACAATGGGGTTAGGCTCCCTCCATCGTTGTTCGCTCGGTCCTTCTTGTCCTTTTGTCTGGCTGGCACCGGCTCAGCTTTTTCCTAACGTCTGGGGGATGATGATGGCTCTGGTCATCATTTGACCGAAACACAGCGAAGGCCAACAATTGACCTTGGGCTTGCGGAGCGCCCTTATGATGTTGAAGACAATTGCAGGCTTCCTGGGGTTCTATAGCTTTAACACTCATCATTGGGAGATATTGAAGCCTCCCATCTCCAACAAACATTTGAGTAACCGATGGTTTTTCGTTGGTGGGACGTGGTTGGCTACTGGCAAGCCAATTTGTGGTCGGGTTCCCAGCCACTTCGGGGAGAACAGTAAGTTTCCCATTCTTTGCTCTTGTCTTACCTTGTCTCCCTTTTGTCGTGGGTATAATTCAACATCTCAGATGATCTTTTCCTCCTTTTCAGCCTTGCCGAGTGGGGTCCCGCCTCTTTCCCTTGAGTCTACATTGATACTCTAGGAGATACGGGCACTCCCAGCCAACAAACGGGCTCCTTCAGTAATCATCACCAATGAAAAGCTATCGTTCCACAACCTCGCCGGAGATCTTGCCGGGCAGGTTCGGGCTGCGATCCTTATCCTGACCAGGCAGGTCCCTTGACTAGTGAGCATCCCGACCCCTTTTTCTCCCAGCGACGGAGTAATGCTCGACTTCTCAAAGTAATACTCGACGGTCACTCGGGGGACATCGATTAAATATGTCCAAGAATTTCTTAAATTGAGCATCAAGCGTTTTCTTTTGAAAACACCGAGGATAAGCTAAATTAATAGGAAGAGTAGGAAGAGTATAACTAGTAGGCTTTTCAACTTCGAGTGTCAGTGGTGCTTCCTTCCCTGGCTCCTTTGGATCGTCTTTTTATTGGTTCCTCAATTGCTTCCTGCACTGAGGAAAAAAACGATCCAAAGGAGTCAGAGAAGGAAGCACCACTGACACTCGAGGCTAAAAAGCCTACTAGTTCTACTCTTCCTACTTTTCCTATTAATTTACCTTTTCTTCAGCGTTTTCAAAAGAAAAGCTTTGATGCTCAATTTAAGAAATTCTTGGACATATTTAAAAAGCTTAATATTAATATTCCTTTTGCAGATGCACTTGAGGATTGCAGTGCAAGAATTCAACGAAAACTACCACCAAAACTCAAGGATCCAGGGAGTTTTTCTATTCCACGTAATCTTGGTAGTTATGGTTTTAAAGCTTTACGTGATTTTTGTGCCAGCATTAATTTAATTCCTTTATCTTTGTGCAAAAAATTAAATATTGGAGAAATTAAGCCGACCACTGTAATGATCCAATTAGTTGATAGATCGACTACAGATCCTTACGAAATCATTGAAAACGAGTTGATAAAAGTTGGCAAATTCATCCTTCCGATAGAGTTTTAAGTGATGAATATATAGCAGGATCACGATCGAGTTACCTGTGATTCTTGGAAGACCATTTATGGCAACTATGCAATTTTAATTGATTTAGAACAAAGGGAGCTCACCATTCGGATCCAAGACGATAAAGAAGTATTCAAGGCCACAAAGGACTCGGACCATCGAGCATAAACTCATAAAATGAAAAAGCCTACAAATGAAGAAGTCAATGGAGGAAACAATCAATTTCAACCTCCTTGAATAATTGACTTAAGCCCCATCTAGTTACCGACATTATAAAACGCTTATTGGGAGGCAACCGATATTTTTCTTCTTTAGTGTTCATTTCATCAGTATTATTCTTTGTTGTTTTTGGGACTTTATTAACTTGTTTTATTTTTATTTATTCTATTTATTTAATTATTTTTCTTTTTGTTACAGATAATTATTTAATTAAAAAAACGAAACACGCGCGTTGGGACGGACATCACAAGGTCGTAGTGTTGAGACGCTCAAAAGTGTCTTAACGCTACTGCAGGTTAAAATCTCGCCGTGACATGTTGAGACGCTCGAAATCTGGGACTTTAAATCCAAGATTTCTACTCATGGGGGAGCCCTAGCCGTTGCCCCCTACTTTTCTCCTCTCTTCTAAGTTTTCTCTCCTCTTCTCTCAATTTCTTCCAAATTTCTATTCCGTTCTTCCATATTCCCTCATACCCACTCTATTTTGCAGCAATATTTCAAATTCAAGGTGGGATGAAGACATTTTCGAGGTTCTTGAAGCTACATCTGTGGGTATTTATCTTCTTCACTCTTTGAGAATTTTTTTTTTCTGATTCGAACTCGATTTGGTGTTGTCCATTCTGAGGCCGAGTTTTCTTATAGGGCAGTTTCTTTCTCTACTCTCCTTTTTGGTTTCATTGTTCTGATTGTTTTTTATGTTTTCATTTTATTTACATTGGGACAACGTAAGTTTTAAGTTTAGGGGTGGGTTAAAGTAATTTTGGTCTGTAATAATTTGATGGGATGATAGGTTGCTATAATTCATGTATTCTGATTTCTTTTTGAATCTTTGAATTCTGATTGATACTCCAAAATATTTGGTATGTCATGAGTGCATCCTTGGGTTGATTCATTATGCATGAAAGAGATAAGCATGATCGTTTTTGTTAAAAATTTTATGATGTTATCTCATTGAAATTCTTGATTGAAAATCCACTTCACTTGATGCAATTTACACACCCAAGTCAGTTTTTTGAGCTTATGAGCAACCCATTACATCTTGATCTACTTAATTTCATTCTGGTGTAATCAAAATTAGCATGATTATTCTAGAACTTGCTTGTGAATGCATTTTATGACCACTTATTTGGATAGATGCTTTAATATCGTGATAAGGGCAATTTAGGCTTACCCTATGTTTGACTTCTAAAAAGCCCACCTTTCACTATATTTTTCTATAGTAAGCCAACTTTGAACCTAATTTCCTATTTTTCTTCTTGTTTTGCACACCATTTTGAAACCCTAAGGTCTTTTGATTGTTTTATCCTAAATGTTTCCCTATGGTCAAGACAAAGGAGAAAATATTGCACAATACTACATTAACTCCTATCCTTATGCAAAGTGTGTGTTGAAGAGAAGAAAAATGAGATGGTGATGAGCATTGAAAAAATTATCATTTGATGAATTATGCTATAAAATTTCAGCTTATAAAAAAAAGGCGCCATTTGGAGAGTATTGTTTCAAGAAAAAAAAAATAATAAATAAATAAAGTAAATCAATTTTAAAAAATAATTAGTACTCGAAGATATGGGTGGACAATTCAAGATGCTAGGAATACGATGTACTTTATGTTATTATGCAATTTAATATATGTGCTGTCTTGATTATTGAGCCTATGAATTTCCTCTTATCCCATTTTCACCTAAGCCCCGTTACAACCATTATTAAAGTCCCTTTGATTTTTGCAACTTATTCATCTAAACGTGGGGAAATTTGATTCATTTGCAAGCCTATGTAATAACATACTATGTTTGGTTTTGAGAGTAAAAAGAACCCTAAATCACATTGAGAGATTGGAGTGAATTCCTGTGAGGGTGTTATTGATGAGATGCTTGAGTTCTTTAAAAATTATATCTTATCATCGCTTATTTCTTGATTGTCATTTTGATTCATCTCGTAGATACATGATTAACTTTACTTGTATTTTTGGGTATTGAGAAGAAGGAAAAAAGGAGTAGAAAGGGGAATTGGTATAATGAATAAGATGCGTGAGCATGACTTTGGAGAATTTACTATGAAAAATGTGCACCCATATTTATCCTTAATTAATTGATATGAGATTGCTATATTTTATAGGACAAGCAAAAGGTTAAGTTTGGGGGTGTTAATAGCCCTCGATAAGGGCTATATTTTATAGTTATTGTAATGGAATTAATTGTTAGTTTTCGTTTCTTTATGATAAATTCACGTGCATAAATGTTATTTTGTAGAAAAAAGGTATCAAGAAGAATCGAGACATCAAATTGATCAAATAGAGTGAAAGGTAATAGTCCGAGCAAGTTGAGAAGGCCTCACAACGTAATTTAGAGCTAGAAGACCCGAGGGGGGGGGTAGCGTTGAGATGCTACCAGAGTGTCTCAACGCTTAAATGTCACAGCCAGCCGACTGACCAGCAAGGGTAGTGTTGAGACGCTACCTCAGAGCGTCTCAATGCTACGACGATGTTGAAGCGGGTTTATTAACGCTTCACGTCGTAGCATCTCAATGCAATTCATAGCGTCTCGATGCTACGACGCCTGGATCGGTTTCTTTTTAGTATTTAGGGCATAACGTTGAGACGCTGTCTTGAATTTTTCTATAAAATAAAGCCTTCGCAAATCAAAAGAGGGGGGAGACCAGAGGGAAAAGGGTAGAGTATTTCGAGGAAGAAGTCGAGTTTGAAGATTGATCCTGGAGATTGAGTTGGGGACGATCAATCGACACGACAAATTCATTTTCTGTCTCTTTTTCTATTATTTTGCTAGTTTAATCATGAACACGAGTAGCTAAATTTCATTGTCTTAGGGATTGATGTAGCCATTGACGTTTATGGATTGATTGTTTAATTTTTTTGATTGAATGCATTTGTTTATTCTATTTATGTTTCTCTTTGCTTTATGCGTTTCATCTCAAATTAATTGATCTTAGACTTGCAATCTTACACTCCACAGAGATGGTTGAGAGTTGAGAACTGGGATTCATAACTGAAGGGGTTTTAAGATCAAGAGATTTAGAATTCTTTTAGAGGCAGTTAAGAGACTTGTTTATTGTAGCATTTACTTGTTGCAAAACTAGATAGGGATATTGGTTTCGTAATTTAGTAAGGAGATTTGGCTTGTGCTCGGGAGAGGCAGTTGAGATTTGAGAGTTCCTGGCCTATAGAATTGATAACCTATTCAATCTTGAATAATTAAATAATTGTTCCATAGATTCAATCGGTGAAATCTATTCTCTAAGATAGTTATTTCCGTTGAATTTACATTCTTTAATAGTTTATTAGTTTATGTTAACTTGTCTTGATCATATTACAATATTTCAATTTTATTTTCTAAATAGAATTGGGCAAAAGTATCTGTGGTTCTTAAGTGATCTAAAAATCCAACCCTGAGGACAATATCGATATCTACTTACTAAGTATATTAAAACTTGACCCATACACTTGCGGTCGTAGTTAGCAATTTCTGCTACAAGGATTGATTCTAGCTCATTTGTAAATGTGCTTTCGAGATGTCCTCCATCACGTGAGGAAGCGGCGCCGCCAGGGCTTCAAACTCTTTTCAATATTCTTCCATCGTTTCTTCTTGCTTTATGGCGAGAAACCAAGCACATAAACTGCGATCTTGTGACGGTCTGAAACGATTGAATAGTAATAGTCTTTACTTGAGGTTGTGCCACCCTTTGAATGGTTGCCGCCCCTCATCAAATTGATACCACGGTAAGACTACCCCGTCGAAGCTTACCACCATCAGGGTCACTGTTAAAGATTGAAGAATTCTTTAACCTTAATCTTTCTGTAGGATAGAATGGTCATGATGGAGGATGAGAGAAAATGAAGACAGAAGAATCAAGTGGTTCAGCTTAATTAAAGCCTACGTCCACAGAAGAAGAGCAGATGATTCATTCACTATGTTCTTGGAAAAGAAAGTTTTACAAAGATGATGACTGAAACTACATGGAAAAGTGGTATTTATATCTTATATCTTTTACAACAGAATTATTAACTTTAGCTGATTTACCCAGATTTCTGTTGGTTTCAACACGGTAACAAACCCACAAATATCCACCTTTGAAATTGACAGAAAGTGACGACGCTCTGCCCTAAGAATTGTTCACCCTTTTTCAGGCATGGTAATACCAGTCAGCTTTAGGCAGTACTCAAATTTCGCTTGTACGACTGGTTTAGTAAGCATGTCTGCAGCATTTTCAGATGTATGAACTTTAACTATTTAAACGGTACTCAAATTTCCATTTCTCAATTTGTTCTCTAACATAATGAAATTTTATGTCTATGCGTTTTGTTCTATTGTGAAATTGTTGATTCTTTGTTAAGTATATTGCACTTTGATTATCACAATAGATCTTTACCTGTTGTTGTTCATGTCCGAAGTCCTAGTCCTTTGAACCACACGACTTCTTTTACTGCTTCTGATAAGGCTATAAATTCGGCCTCTGTTGTGGATAGGGCTACAACTGGTTGTAAATTTGACTTCCAACTCACTATATTTCCATCAACTAGGAATAGATAACCTGATAATGATCTTCTGTTATCTAGCTCTCCTGCGAAATCAGAATCTACATATCGTTGAAGCTAAGGAAGTGATTCTCTTGGTCTTTTATACATTAGACCTGTAGTTGAAGTGCCCTTTAGATATCTTAGCACCCATTTCACTGCTTCCCAGGGTCTTTTACTTGGATTTGACATGAACCTGCTGATTATACTTGTTGCATATGCATTGAACATACCATCAAGTACATTATACTACCAATAGCACTAGAATAGGGAATAGTTCTCATGTAACTAGTATGTTCAAAGTCATCTTCTGTTGGTGAGTTTATATTCGAGAGTTTAAAATGTTGAGCAATTGAGGTCTTAACTGATTTGGCTTCGTCCATTTTAAATTTTCTTATAACTCTTTTTACAGTAAGAGGATTGGCTAATGAATATCTCTCCTTCAGCTATCCTTCTTGAAACATCCATTCCTAGGATTCTACTTGCTTCTCCCAAATCTTTCATGTCAAACTCTCATTTCAAACATTGTTTTACAAGATTTGTTTCTTCTCGATCATTTCCAGCTAAGAGCATATTATCAACCTATAGAAGAAGATATATGCTGATTTTATTAATTGTTGTTTTGGAGTAGAGACAACTATCAAAATAGCTTATGTTAAAGCCTATATTGATTATGAACTCACCAAATCTGTTATACCAGCACCTCGGAGCTTGTTTTAAACCGTAAGGGGATTTATTTAATAAACATACCTGTTCCTCTCTCCCTTTTACTTGATATCCTTCTGGTTGCTTTAGGTAAATTATTTCTTCAAGGTGTCCATGAAGAAATGCTGTTTTTACGTCTAATTGATCAAGTTCTTGACCTCTTTGTGCCACCAAAGCAAGTAGAACTCTAATAGATGTGTGCTTCACAATAGGAGAGAAAAATTCTGAGTAATCGATTCCCTCTCTTTGTGTAAACCCTTTGGCTACCAATCTTGCCTTGTACCTTGGCTTTTGAACACCAGGAAGCCCTTCTTTATACTTGTAGACCCACTTCGAGGATATGACCTTTTGGCATTTTGGGAGAGGTACTAAAGTCCATGTTCTGTTTATTTCAAGAGATGTCATTTCTTCGTTCATTGCATTTATCCAATTTTCTGCATTTGGACTGTCTATAGCTTCCTGAAAACTTAGTGGTTCATTATCATTAAATGAATGAGCTACACTTAGAGCTACAGCCATTGTGTTACTCTCTGCATACCTACTGGGACGTACAATTTTTCTTCTTTGCCTATCTCTTGCTAGAGAATAACCTGTCAAATCAGTCTGCAATTGAGAAGTTTCTATTACCTCAGTTAGTGGTTGAGAAGTTTCTCCATGTTCATCAATATCCTCTTCTTGTGTTTCTTGTATTGAACTTTCAAGATTTTTCTTAAAGCTGGAAGCTCCACCTCAATTATTGAGTTCTGATTCAAACTTGCTAGTTTTGATGGTTGTTGATACATGAACATCTCTTCTTCTCGAAAAATTACATCTCTACTATTTATGCATATTTTATCTGTTGGATGCCAAAGCCTATATCCTTTTACTCCTTCTGAAAATCCAACAAACATGCATCTGATAGCTCTTGGCTTTAGTTTTCCCTGATTTATATGACATAACCAACACAACCAATCACTTTAAGATTATCTAGATTTGGAGGTTGTTTAGTCCATTTTTCTTCAGGTGTTAGGAATTGATTTGCTGTGTGTGGACACCTATTGATAGTATGAACAGCATAGGAAGCTGCTTCTCCCAAAATCTTTCTGGTAGGTTTGCATCTGACAAAAGACATCTCACACGTTCCATTATAGTTCGGTTTAGTCTTTCAGCTACCTCATTTTGTTGGAGATTATTCCTTACGTTTTATGTCTTTTTATTCTAGTTGTTTTATAGAAAAAGTTGAATTCTTATCCACAAAATTCAAGTCCATTGTCAGTTCTCAAGTATTTTATTGACCTTGACATGCGATTTTTTCAATCATTTTCTTCCATTCTTTGAATTTTTCAAGTACCTGGTCGTTGGTTTTTAAGAAATAGATCCAAGTCTTCCTAGAAAAATCATCAACAAGAGTTAGAAAGTACCTTGAACCACTTAGAGATTGTGTTTGTGCAGGCCCCCATAAATCGGAGTGTATGTAGTCAAGAATGCCTTTTGTAACATGCTCACTCTTTTGATAACTTTGTTTCTTTGCCTTCCCCATAAAGCAGTGCTCACAGAAACTCATTTCTTTAGATATACCAATGGGCAAAATGCCCTGTTTTTCAAGTTCTAGGAGACCTTTAGTACTTATATGTGCTAATCTTCCATGCCAAAGATCCCCATTTGAACATGTTGATTATGTTATTAATGCAGCACCAGGAGAATCAATATCTTTGACCACATACAACCCATTCACTTTTTCTCCAACCAACACAATTCTGGAATTTTTTCTTACCTCAAGTGTACCATCATGTCCACTGTATTCACAGCCTATAGAGTCGAGCATTCCTAAAGATATTAGATTTCTTTTTAGGTTTGGCACATGCCTAACGTTCTGAAGGAGCTTCAAAGATCCATATTTTATTTTAATGATATTGACCCAATACCAATTACCTTTCAGATGTCATTGTTACCCATGTAAACAGAACCACCATCCCATTCTTGGTAACTTTCACCAAGTCCTTGATGGTGTCATATGGTATGAACAGCCAGAATCTAGCAACCAATCATTATTTTCTCGAGTATTACTTGAATGAGCACGATTATCTGTTGCTGCCAAAACATCCGAATAAGTAACAACATTTTCTCCTACAGAGGCTTCAGCAGGCTGTGATTTCTTGTTCTTCAAGTTTTGCTTCTTTTTAAGAAAATAACAATCTCTTTTCAGGTGACCCTTCTTGTGGCAATAGCTGCATCTGATTTCTTGTTTACCTTTCTCCCCACTTTGGTATTTAGTATCTTTCCAATTGTTCTTATTTCTGCCTTTTGCAAAATGTCCTTCAGCACTCACATTCTCTTTTCTTGAAGCTTGAAGCTTGAAGTTCGAGTTCTTTGGTCTTTACGGCTGAAATTATTGCATAATTTGTTACTGATACTCTTTCATACTTCAATGCTGTTTTTACATCTTTGTAAGCCTCTGGTAGTGAACAAAGTATCAAGCTTATTCCAAATGTCATATGCAGAGGTGAGATCTAATACCTGTCTTAGTATGCTGTCACTAAGATTCAAGATAATGGTTCCATATGCAATCTCTTCCATTTTTTCTTTTTCTTTTGCAGTCATCGACTGGGGCAATTACGCTGGATCAAGGATGGCTTTAGACGCCTTCTGTTGACCAAGAACAACTTCGATTTTGGCTTTCCATAATTCGAAATCGCCTTTTCCATCGAACTTCTCTATTTCAAATCTTGCAACCGTTATCTCTCTTGTTTCTGCTTCTAGACGAAAGATCTTCTAACCAACCGTGAGCTCTGATACCACTTTGTTAAAGATTGAAGAATTCTTTAACCTTAATCTTTCTGTTCGCAGAATAGAATGGTGATGGAGGATGAGAATAGAATGGTGATGGAGGATGAGAGAAAATGAAGACAGAAGAATTAAGTGGTTCAGCTTAATTAAAGCCTACGTCCACTAAAGAAGAGCAGATGATTTATTCACTATGTTCTTGAAGAAATTTTTACAATGATGAAGACTGAAGCTACATGCAAAAGAGGTATTTATATCTTATACCTTTTTGAACAAAACTATTAACTTTAGCTGATTGATCCAGATTTCTGTTGGTTTCAACACGGTAAAAAACCCACATTCACCTTTTCCTCGTCCATAAGCTAGTGAATATCAAAGTACCTATCGGCTCGGAAAAGCCACGCATCGAGGTCTTCACTAGAGAAAATTGGCATTTCCAATTTCTTGAATTTGTTGCGATTAAAGGACCCCATTTCTATCTTGCTTGTTTGAGCGTCCCTTTCATTCCCCTATTTTTGGAACAAAGAGTCCACTGTTTCTTACGGTTGTTTATGTTTTTGTGTACCTCAATCTGAGCGCGAGGACGCGTTTACTCCTCTTTTCTCGATTGAAACTTCGTTTTTTATCCACGCTAAGATTTTTTGTGTTTCTCCTTGTTGACCTTCGAACTTCGCAGCAATATCTGAGACTATTTGTGCTAGCTGGTTTATCGCCCGTTCCAGTGTTGATAACTTCGCTACATCATTGATGGCGCCTAACTATCTACCTGTCTCTCCCATTCTTTCTTCTAACTTTTTTGAGCCATTTTTCTCAAGTTTCCTTGGTCGAACTGCCTTGATACCAATTTGTAAGAAAATCTTACAAGCAAACTGATATTCAAGAGGAGATGAGCTTGGTTCTCTCCCTATCCCAAGACTTCTCAAAATGAACAAAGCATACCCTTGCACAAAAGATCTCAAAAGCATATAAGCAACAAACAAAATAACTTGAGGGGATGAATTCCCCTCTTTGCCCCTCCTTCTATAAGTATTAACTATTGGGGTCTTACATGGACATTTGGAAAATATTAAGTATAATTTGACTCCAAGACATCTATACATTTTAACTATTTACCCTACAAATATTAAAATCAAAAAAGAAAAAAAAAACAACTGTTTATTAGACCTAGTATTATTTTTTAAATTCCGTGTATAATGTTTTTGGCTTAATTTTATTCATGGAACTTGTGTTTAAAAAAAAAAAAAATTGTATTTGTGGAACTTGTGTTTAAAGAAAAATTTACGTTCTCGTTCCTTGGTTTCCTTCCCTTGAAGCAAACGAGGCCTAACTTTATTTCATTGATGGAAGTAAGAACTTTTATGTTTTGTTTTAAAAGTTCTCTTTTCTTAAAACTATTAATTTTTTTTTTTTTGATTCAGATGGGTTTTTGAAATCTATTTTTTTTTCTTTAATGTGATTTATTTTAATTCTAGACAACAGTTATTATTTTAATTTTGAAAAAAAGTAATGTAATAATTAGAGCATAAACCATAATTATTTGGGACATGTTTGGGTGGACTAATGTATTAAAAAATTTAAATAAGATCTTTTTATAAAAAAATTGCTTAAATTTGTTAATAAAAAACTGGCGTATCATTAAACTATTGTTTTATTAACAAATTTGGACACAAACACGATATTATTATAATATCATTAAACTATTGTTTTATTAACAAATTTGGACACAAACACGATATTATTATAATATTTGACCGATGAAATAGAAATTGTTAGTTGCATATGAAACTAGCTAGTACAAAAGAAAGAGAGACACTCTGAAGAAATAAATTTTTATTAAGAAGATACAAATATGACACTCTCAAAGAAACTATCTCACACTATTCTTCATTACTACACTACTTATCTAACTTACCTAACATTCTAACTGTTGGGTTTGTAAGGAGTATAAATAAAGTCCCACGTTGTTAGGGACTTTGTTTGCACTCCTTACGAACCCAATACTAATTTGCTTCTAATATCTGATAATACAGCTCCTTAGACAAGAGATCTTTAGTTGAATCTTACATGTAAATATTTCTTTAGTAAATCTCAACAAAATCTTTTCTTTTATATATGTGTATATTTTTCAAGAATAGACAAGATATAGGTAGATCCTTCATGAACGCACACTACTAAAATGTGACCTGAAGACGAATAATTACTCTGCACAAATTATTTGCAAATTACAACGATTGTCTTAGAAAGGTACCATGCATAACTTCAATAGATGAAGAACCTTTTGAACTATTCGGAAGTTATATAAACATTTGCTCTCAACAAAATTAAAGATATAAAGAAGGTATAAAAAGAGAATTATGGAGAGAGAGAAACTCGAAGGTAGGATGAATTTTTTATTTATTTATTTATATTTATTTTTAATTAATTAATTAATTAATTAATTAATTAATTTTTTTTGCAAAGGGGAAAGTTAGGATAGTTTGAAAGGAAGAACTAAGCAACTATCTATTCTACCAATTATTTCATACGTATATATCTCTTTTCCTCCACTTTCTTATCCACCTTCAATAATTTTAACAGGTCTTTAAACTTTCAAGATAATGCTTATTTAGTTTTTTTTTTTGAATGAGATAATGCGTAT